TGGTGGGGGGTAGGAGGGGCTGGGAGTGGTGGTGAGGAGGTTGTTTAGGTGCCGTGTCTGAGGCGGAGGATGACGGTGGGGGATGTGGAGGAGGCGGTCGTGGAGGATAAGGATGCCGCGGTGGTGTATGTGTGCGGAGTGCCGGGCATGACGGATGATTTTGTGCAGGCGCTGGTGGCGCCGGAAGGGTTTGGTATGGACCCGAAGAGGGTTTTGTTTGAGAAATGGTGGTAAACTCTCTTTCGGGAGGAATTACATGGGGTATACTGGCGATTTTAGGAGCTGACTATGTCTGCTACTTCATGTGTTTGTACATGTATAAATTACATCTGTCTAACTTCATCCCTAAGTTTTACACATAAACCCTCTTTCTCTGGTCGTCACTTGACCACCTCCGTGACTGATGCGGCAGCTACAACCACTCTGCTACGCCCATGATAAAAAGACCTGCGTTCCGACCAATTTCCTACTCCAACAACACCATCTACACATCAAATAACAACGAAACACCCTTAGAGCTGGCCACTCCCAGCCCTCTGACCAACGTCACCGCCATCCTTTGGTTTCGGCCCCTCACGACCGAAAACCATAGCTGCCAGCTTACCCGGCGACCCGCTGATTTTCTTCTTACGAAGCCCCGCGAGCAGCGACCGACCAGTCTTCTTATTGGTCTGGGGGCTAGACTCGCGAGGGGCGAAATTCTCAGCAAGGCTTGTCCGGCCCGGCGATGGATTCGCAGCCGCCCACTCCGACTCACTCGATGTTGTGGTCTCGAGGTGTGGGAGCTCGCGGTAAGAATACATATCGCTCGGCAGAGACTGCCTAGATCTCGCCCCCGCAGAGAACATTGCCCGCTTGGGCGATGTGAAGAGGGAAATGCCGCGTTCGAGTCCACACCCGGTTGTGGGCAAATAGCGACCGGGGGAGAGCTTCTCTTCCGAGGAGAAGTCGCTTGGAGACTTTAGGGACGCCTCGTAGTCTGAGACCAAAGAGTCGGCTGGATTGGGCTCGCCGTCCGGAACAAAACTGAAAGTCGACTCCGAGGGTGGAAGCTGAACAAGTTGAGCGACGCCGACTTCAATCTCCTCCAGGTTGAGAGACCCCTCTTCGGCGTATTTCTGGAGCGACGGGGTTATCGACAGAGTGGCTGACATGACTGATGTCGCAGAAGATCGTCTTGAACGCTTGCCGTGCGCGCCTACGGGGAGTTCCGGTAGAGGGCGTTCCAGATACGACTCGAGAGACGCATCGCGGAGCGCCTTGCTTGGCTGAGGAACTCTTCCAGAATTGGACGGCACCGCTGGGAAGCGCTCGGGCGGGCTCTTGAGGAAGTAAAACTCTGTTTCTTCTTCCCGTTCGTCGCCCTCATATGGCTCTTCTCTGTGTGCTCTGCAGTCGTGAAACACGGCTTCGTCTGAGCTGCGGTCCCATGAAAGCGATAACTGCTCCCCCGATATGTTATTTAGCAGCCTTGAGGCCGCTTCCGCTTGAGCAATAGTCTGAAGCACTTTCGGGGAGATCGAGCAGAGGAGCTCAAGTTCGGTCGGGGGGATGAGATTCAGTCGTTCGAGGTTCTGCAGCGAGCGGTAGTGAAGCCGAAATGTAGCGAACGGTGAGTCCTTTGCATCTAGGAGATGCCAATCGTAAAAGCACGCATCCTGCGGCTGGTCAAGAAGGCCAATGCTAGGCGAGCTGATGGGTTTGTTAGTGGGCGAAACAACATGAAATCCAGTAGCGAAAACACCAACGCGATACCGTAATTCTCCTGAAACTTGAATTCCTCCAACTTTGGCGCACGAACACGTCGTTCCTTGGCTCGGAAGACTTGTATCTCGATAAGGCCGCCGTCATCTGCCACGGACTTGAACTCTTGACCAGGCAAAAACACAAAATTACGGCCTTCGAGCCCGATCCGGTCGGTATAAAGCCTACAGGGCGACCACAGCGACTTGACAACCTTTCCTTTCGGACGGACGGTCGGATCAATGCCCCATGCAGCGATGGGTCGAGCGTTCATGTATAGCCGAAAGAAAATGTACTTGCAAGGAGTAGCTGGCGTGGTATTCACGCTGTAATTGATAGAAAATGGGGTGCCTGAATTGTCAGTCTGAAATGATGCGCGGTGTATGTTGTGATGGTGGGGGGACAAGCTGACCTGGAACTGACGGTATGTAAACTGCCACTGTCGGGCCAGCCTTGGGTTGCGATAGCTGGCCATTCGAACAAGACGATGGTACGCCCAGAAGCCGAACCGATGTGCCTTCTGGGTGCGGATATTCGGGTATCTGCTCGTCTTCGGGTTTGGTGGTTAGGGACACCTCAATGCCCCGAAGGCACGGCATTTTAGTTGGCTTCAACGAGAAAAGGTTGACTGTGGCTGAAAGACCTGACCAAACTCTGAAGCTAGATTGATGGGGGGGTAGGTCGCCAAAACAAGTCGACGCCGAGGAATAAACGGTAGAGGGTCGGGTGCATTAGGTAGGAAATGGGAAGGAACAAGATATCCTGACCCCGCCTTCTGCAAATTGTTGTCGAATGCGCCAGTTGACCTAAGTTCCTTGTCGAGATGGCGTCTCCACGACTACCTCACCTAGACAAATAAATAAACGAGTTGGAATGGAGTGAGCGGGTTGTTTGCCAGGCTCTATCGCAAAGCACTTGGTACCCCGGCCAAATGTTCAGAAGCACAACAATGGACCCGCATGGCTTGCTCAAAAGGACGCTCATTCAATCCCACCAACCTCTCTGCTTATTTCATGGCAGTTTCCGAATAGTAACCGGATATACACAGAATTGGGTCGAGGCGCCACTGTCGGCAGCCCTGCTCTAGTTCGTCCCCAGTACCTTCTTGGTGTCGTCCTCCTTGTCTAACAACCCGAGATTCCGTATTTGGCCAGCCGTTGGGGGGTTCTCCTGCAGTTTCTTGGCCTCGGATTGTCGGTAAGCAGCCTGTAGCATCTTCACTCTCGCAGCCTGTAGAGCAAGCAATCCGGGTCAGCTAGGATGGTCCGAGGGGTTTTGCGACAAGGACATCGGGGGTCGACGCACCTCCTTCCTGTGGTGTAGGCATTCATAGTAGTCCTCCATGGCGGGCACGCACTTCTTCTTGCCCGAGGCGTCTTCATCGGAGCTGTTGACAACGTAACAGGAGAGAAGCTCCTGCCAGAAGGGAAAGCATCGGGACGGGCCTGTAAAGGGACAGAATTGGGTCAGCGCAAGGTTAGAGTCATGCCAATTGAGGCTGGAAATTGGGTTATTGGTGCATCCGATAATACTCACCCCCGTTCAAGCCGTATCCAGAGGCCATGGTGGGCTATGTCGAAGCTTGGGTGCAATTTGGCAGTCAAGGTGCGCCGCCAATGCCGATGTCACTTGCTGGTGTTGTCGGCGATGAAGTTGAGTGCACGGACCAAACTGGAGCTTCCTGGCGGTCTTGGCACAAAAAGCAACGCCACAGCTGGCAGCACAAAGTTTCACCAAGCCACATAGGAAACCACCTCGGTACCTTGGCACTCTTGGAGGGACGGGAAAAAAGACATCTGGGAGCCCAAAGTCTAATTTTTGTTTGACTCGGTTTCTTTTATTTAATTTATTATTCTCGGTTTCCTTTTTTTTCTTATCCTTTCCTTGGTTTCCTTTACTTCTTTCTCTTTTATTGATTTCTTGCTCTCCTTTCGAGTCTCGCTTTTTTTACCGAGGGTTCTTACTAGTTACTGGATGTACCTACATACATAAAAACGGAATTGAGATTGCCAAGCCTTCTCTTTGTTATACATTATACATATACCCCCCATTGCCATTTGGACATGATCAGAGAACCCGGATATCGAGAATTTCCCCTTGGGATATCTCCTTGATGCCCTCGAAAACATCAATTGGTGTAACCAGATTATACCCCAGTTCATAGCCGTGGGGCTGTTGTCCAGTAAACAACAGCCCAACGACTCCTCCATCCTCGTCTCGAACGACAGAGCCAGAGTTTCCACGGTTTCTAATAGGTTTGCTGCGCAGGGGGAGGAACATGTACCCGGTGGCCTTTGGGAATGTGACTACATGCTTTTCCAAGGCCGCCGCAAAACATCAGTATCGTCTAAATTTAGGCCAAGAAATTGACTATGGATTGGTTCTCGAACTTTGCCGTCAGCTGCGGTTCCACACCCAACAGACGTCCAGGGCAGGGGCGGGAGGAACAAAGCAGGGCATGATGGTACCAGGCACACTTATTTGATGCAGGCGCCCTCTAGTGCGAGGGCTGAGGAGTCAGACGGCAGTAATGAGAGCTATCATAAACGGACCCGCGCCAAAGCGGTCAAGGAGGCTGGAAGCCTGGAACGGAGTTTCCGAAAGGGTAACCGTCAATAAAGCTGGGTAAAAGGGGGAGAAAGCCACGTCGGGCGGTAGCGGTGTGGCCGAAGCAAAGCAACAAAGATCACTTGTACGGAAAAAGGCCAGTCCAGAAACTTGGTAGGCTAGATGAAAACTCAAAGCACACGCCCCTTTGCTCTTGACTTTCATCAAGTCCACCACTTGATACCTTATCTTTCGCCCAAGGAAGCCCCCGTCCTCCCTCAACACACACACTCGTCCACGACCGGAAAGGAGGATTCAACACTCATAAAAAATGATACCAAAAGCTATGAGATTCTACCGCCAGGGGGGGCTGCTCTGTGGATCGGCCGACGGCAACGCCCATCACTGTGTGTACGATATCGACCAGAGACAATGGATCAGTGTTTCTACAACCGCCCCCTGGGACTCGCCCCTGATGCGCCATGATCATGACGATGCGTTTGACGACGCATGGGAGGCGCTTGGCGTCCAGGCCGAAGAGCTGCTAGCAGAACACATCGACACTGTAGCCGCTGGTGTCAAAGGAATTGTTGTCGAGGTCTCGGGCAAGTTGAGATTCGTCAAGCAAAGCTGCCTTGGGATGGATTACTACAACAGCCGTTCGACTCTATATCCGCTACTTGAATTATACCAGCTGCCCCAGGGCACGTTTAAAACCATTCTCCGGTCAGACATCGCGGAGCTTGACCGTTTATCTCCCGGCGTCGATCTGGTTTCATATGCCGGAATGGAAAAGGGCGTGTTCAAGTACGCCGCCTATCACCCCAACGGTTTCGGCGATACATGGATGGAATTCCAGATTCAAGCTCGTCTCCCCAAGCACCCAAACATTCTGCCCGTGGACTGCCTCGTTCTCGACGAGCAGACTGGGAAGCGTTACATTGGCTACACCGCCCCGTTCATCGAAGGCGGCGACCTTGGTACCAACAAGAATCGGCTGTTCAAGCTCAAGCATCTCAGGCAGCTGATGGAGGTAAATGCCCCTTTCTATCCCCCGTCTCACCTTCGGCAGTACTGACCTAGTGTGCAATAGGTTGTCGACTTCCTGAACTACAACCTTGGCATCGTCCATAATGACATGGCGCCCCGCAACCTCTTGATCGACCCATATACCGACGACCTCATCTTGTTTGACTTCGACGTGTCTGCAAAGATCGGTTACGAGGTGGCCCCGATGGAGAGGGGCATGAGCGCAGCGATCGTGGAACGCAACGACGTCAAGGGGGTGGTGATGACGGTGCATGAGCTGCTCACCAGAGACCCACGCTACGAGGGCGTGCAACTGCATTATCCTGACGAGACAGACCTCCTCGCCGGACCCGAGAAGTGGGTTAAGCACCCGGAGGTGCAGCTGGAATCTGGCGTCGACACTGTCCACTACTACGACGAGCTGATGCGTTGGGTGGAAGCCCGTCGCGAGCGCCCCATCACGGTGTACACCGAGGCATCCGATCCCCTGGAATGGCCCCGCAGATTCCGCGACGAGAACAACCCAGAGGAGTATGAAATCAACTACGACCGCGACATTAAAGCGGTGATACACCTCAAAACCACACACACCACCAACGCTGGTCACGTGCCACGCTCGTTGTGATGTCAATGCAGCATGAGAGAGGAGATGGCTCAGGAAACAACTTTCGATGCCACGGATCCTACGATCGTGTTGTCGGTACGCTTCGCGTGTGGCCCTCTGGCCAGTGGGTCGCGGTCACCGTGACCGCGGAAAGGAGTCACTTCTGCAAGTGTCGAAAAAGAATAGAATTACCCGTCTGCCCCCCTAACTCCTGAGAGGGCCTAAGCCTCTGACTAAATACAAGGACGCCCCCCTGAGGAGGCGGAAGAACGTAACGGAAAAGCGGAAAATCAAAATTCCTGGTCCCCTGGTCTTCTGGTCACCTGACACGGAGGTCCGCGCCCCAGTTCAACATGGCCGAGAAGCACGGCTGGCCGTTCATCGAGTGGTTCCGCCCGCGAGAGGCACACCTCGACCGCTCCCGCCGGCTACTCGCCACGGGCAGGTACGCCGACGACCCCTCTAGCATCAGCGGACCAGGTTGGGAGGATGAGAATCCCGTTACGGAAGCCCGTCTCAAGGACGGCAAGGCAGGCAACCAGGAGAAGGTTTCGGCGCGGGTGCCGGGGCTGGTGTCGGCTGCCACCATGAGCAATGCCGATCCCGATCCCAAGCCAAGCGATGCCACTGCAGTCCCAGAGACCGGCAGCGATACCACCCACAGCCTCACCATTGACGGCACCGCCACTGACAACACCGCAACCACTCCACACCCCGCCCCAAGCCGAGCCCTCAAACACGGCACAAACCATCCCCATCACCATCCCTATTCCCCCCCTCCCCACCGAACCCAATCCCAAACCAAAAACAGAACCCAACACCGAGACCAAAGCCAACCCCAAGAAGGAAGCCACCAAGCCTCTGCCCCTGGCCCCCAAGGCCGGTAGAAGCAGGAAGCGGGCGGCTAGCGCCGCGCTCCGGGAGGGGAACGAGGGCGGAGCCGGAGCCGGGGATGGGGCTGGGCGCCCTGCGGTGAGGCGCAGCCCGCGGGTGAGGGCAAGGAGTTTGAGTAGGGAGTAAGGGGGGGTTGGTGGGAGTTGGGGCGAGGGGTGAGGGAGGAGGGAGGAAGGGGGAGGTTGGGGTTGGAGATGGAAAGGGGAGGGGGAGCTGGTAAAAGGTTAGATTGTGGTTAGAATAAGGTAGATTTGGAGGTGACCTGCGGAGATGGTTGTTGGGCAGATGGTCGTTTCTTTTGTTTTTGTTTACTTACAAAAGGGGGTTGTTTGGCTGTTTTTATCTCGAGATTGAACCAATGACTAGATTGTTTTAGAACTCGCAACTCACGGCGGTGTCGAGCGGTGATGTGTTGACTTGGGACTTACCACAGGCATGCTGGTTGAGGGTGAAATGGGCATGCCCCCCGACTGGGAGCGGCAGTTGGGAGGAGACAAAGGCGTGTAAGTGATAAAAGCGGGTCTGCTGGCTTTGATACCGGGGCTTGGCACGGCTTGACCCACTTTACCGGCCCCGATCTCTCTCCACTGTATCCACCTGCAGTATGGTGGCATGGATCCCTGCAACTTGGCCAAATAAATGCCAAGTCGGAATGTGTCAACTGCTTCTCCAAGCTGCCAACAACCTGAACTGACCTTGAAATAGCCATGATCTCGGCCGCCATCCCGTCAATGCCCCCATAAATCTATGCCAATCTCCAGCGATAGAGACTGCGACGATGGCCCTCCTGCTTTCTCCAGCAAAGCTTGTGCTGCTGGCCGTGCACTGCGCCGTCAACAGCGACATCGACAGCTTGACCACCCTCGCTGCCCGCCACGGCACTGTGCTTCGAAAAGACCTACTGCTGCGCATCCTCCTCACCTATCTGCCCGAGACCCTGCCCTCGAACCAGTATGCCGCACTTATCGACCAGCTCGAATCCGGCGTGTTCCCAGGCACAGCGAACTCAGACGTCGACTGCTCGTCTGTCGAAGACTTCACCGAGGATGCCGCCGCGAAGAAGGTCAGGAAGCTCCGTCTGCTTCCATTAGCGTCGCCCGAACCCCCCGAATTCCCCGAAGTTCCATCCGGCGACGTTTTATCGCTCTTCCTGCTGCGCCGGTCATACAAGGTGGACGAGGAGGCCGGGTTGCTCGACGAACTGCCGGCACTGCTGTTGCCCTTTGTCGATCACTCCCCATCCGTGCGCACGCTGCTGGTTTCCACAATATTACCACTCCTGCGGCGGAATTGTGAATACTACCCTCAGGCGCCCGTATCATACACCCTTCAGGGCTTCCAGCAGCTCCCCGACCGCGTTGCCATGAACCTACTCCTCGCCCAAACTGGCAATCAGGAAGCCGACCTCCCCTACGTCGGGCGGGATCTACGGGGATTAATCGGGCCGTGGTTATCAGAGAAAAGGAGGTGGAAGCAGGAAACACATAAAACACACTCGTCAGACCCGAGTGGGGCGGTCGAAGCGCTCTGTCCTGGCTGGGATGAGCTTCTCCGCTGGCTCACCACGCAAGCGTCAAGGAATTGGCAAGTCGCCTCCAGCGCAGTCCAGCAATGGGATGGCCTGGAGGATGCTGATCTTGGTGGTTGGGGTTCCGTGGAACTGAGTGATGGCCAACGGGACTACTTGGAGCGGAGCTATGCCCAAGCGGCCCTAGCATCTGCCTACCTCATCCCCGATGCATCTCTAAAAGCGCTGGACGGCGCTTACAGCATCATCGTTAGAGTTGCCAAGTTGCGTGGCCTGGAGCCCGTCTTCCCGCTTGCGTCGGTATTGGCCGAGTTGCCATCACTCACTGGAAGGGTTCCTGACGACATCATGTCGGCCAAAATATGGCACACTTGCGCAATAATCTGCTTGTCCCGTCAAACCCCCTGACTTCTCCGGTCGACGCCGCTGTGGCGTTACTTCAAGCGCTTATTCTGAGCGCGCATATTCTTACACAAGCTGGTTGCCCTTGCACAATACGCAGAGCCGGTGAGCTCGCCCTGCTTCGGGACGAGAGAGAACAGAAGGCCGAGGCAGTGAAGTTTATTCACGCCATTAGTAGCAATGGGCCGAAAACGGATGATGTGTTTTGGCGAAAGGCGAGAGACGAAATCCTGTGGCTCAGAGACTGGGGGATAGCTAGCTGGTCCCCCGAGGAACCCACTTATGGCGTATTCGGCCAGGTCAAGGAGGACTTCTTGGAGGTCGAGATCCTCAGAGCCCTGCTTGCTAACACCCGTAAGTTTGTTGCTGCCGCGCAAAAGCGACGTGCTGACGATCAAAGGCTACGAACTCGCGCGGTCAATATACGATGAAAACCCGGGCGAGCCTCTCGAACGGAAGCTTTTGCAAGACACTATCTACGCCGCCGCTATGACTGCCTATGATAATGCCTCCAACCCCAACCGTACCCGCGGCGGTCTTAAGAAATGCAACGACATGTGAGTGTGGCTAGCTTATCATGTGTCGTGCGCTGGGCTGACAAAAGATAATCAGAATGAAAGCCCTCCCTACGGCGACTGGAGCATCGTCTCCACAAGCTAAACAGGTTGAAGCCCTTCTCCGGGCGACACACTCCCTCAGTGACTACCGGCTCGTCCTCAAGCAAGGCGAGCCATTTACACCCGTCGTTTTACGGATCCACACCGACCCCATCTCCATCATCGGCAAGGTCCTCGAGCAGAACCCCAAGAGCTACACCCAGCTCCACGACCTCGTCTCTGTCGGCACCAACATGGTCGAAGCCGGCCTCACAGCCCAGTCTAAAACCCCTCTCAACCCCGAGGAAGAAGCCACCCATCGCCTCACCGCGCAACGGCGCATCACAGCCATGTGCATCGACGCGGCCCTGAAAGAAGACGACTTTGAGACCGCCTACTCCTACGTCGTCAACCGCCTCCCCTCACCATCCCCCTCCTCAACAACCTCAGACCACAAGAACAACACCATCAACAGCGACGACTACTCCTGGCGCGCGGCCCTCCAAGCAGGCCGCTACCGGCAGCCCCCCAACAGCCCGACAACCAACCCCCACGCCACCACAGGTCTCGGCGGCCTCGGCGGCAGCGCCAACCCGGCCGTGCGCCACCTCGAACAACGCATCGAATGCCTCGCCACCGCGCTGCGCATCGCGCCCCCATCCACCCTCCAAGAAATCGCCAACGCCTTCCGCCGCGCCGAAGAAGAACTCGACGTGCTCGCCCGCGAGGACGACGCGCAGGCCGACGCGTGGGACGCCCGCGGCGAGCAGCTACGTCGCGTCCGCCACAACCACCACCCCCACCAAACCGTGCCGGGCGCGTTCGATGACACGCCCGCCCACACCCACTACAACCCTGCCCGGCCTGGGAAAACCGCGGCTACAGCCGCCGCCGCCGCGGAAGAAGACGCCGCGCCCATGTCGCTGTTCGACCTCAGCCGCGCGAGCGTCCTCTCCGCCCAGCGCAACCTCTCCGCTCTATCCGGCCTGCAGCGGTCGGCCACGGCCGGGCTGGGACGGCTAGCTGGCGCCGGCGCCGGCCACTCCGGGGGCAGGAGCAGGGGGGGCCGGAACCACATCCCCCCCCTCTTTCTTCTACCGGTGATGACAACACCGCCACCAGCAGCAACAATGGCCGAGGGAGCATGGACATACGACGGCCGCTTTCGGCGGCGGGGTCGGTGGCGTCGGTGGGGAGCGGGGCCGAGGGGGGCGCAGGTGCGGGTGGGGGCGCGGATGGACGGGTACGGAAGAGGGATCAGCTGCGCGAGGCGGCGATGGGCACGTTGGTTTCGGGCGTGGGGTGGTTGGTTGGGGCGCCGGGGCCGGCGGCGGGGGGGCAGGGGGCGGGGGCTGGGTAGGGTAAGGTAGGGGGGGTAGGGGGGAGGGGAAGGAAGTAAGAGTTGTAGAGAAGGGGAAAAAGAGCATGTATGTACTAGTCTGGGGTCCTAGTCTGAGGCAGGGTTGTTGCCAAGAAAGGAGTGGCGTGTATGGTTGTCGAAGGTATGGGGATGATAGCTGCTGACATTATATACCCCTTGACTACACTTGTAGCATGAAATTTGGCATTTTTCAAAGACAACTACAGGGGCAAGCAACAACCAGCACATCATGTTCTTTCTGTAACGTATTCCGTGGCAACAAATTACAACCGCTTAATCCTAACAGCGCCAGCTCCGCGGCACCTAAACTCCACGCACATAGCGAGCCCCTTGCCTTTCCCTGTAAACAATACAATACATCATAGAGTATAACTCCAGTCTATGTGGTCTACCCCGAAACAAAGATGGGGCCAGGCACCGTTTTGACCCTCTGCGCCCGAAACCCAGAGCAACGGAACTAGCCTCGCACTTCCACCACTCGCTCTAATAAAAATTTATCAATCCGAGTCGGAGTCGCCATCCATACCCAGCAGTGTCTTGTCGACGTCATCCAGCTCATCCTCGCCCTCCCCCTCACCCTCACCCTCACCCTCACCCTCACCCTCGCCTTCCCCTTCGCCCTCGTCGTCGTCGCCAAGGCCAAGCAGCCCCTTATCCACGTCGTCCAGATCATCGGCGTCATCCATGGGCGTATCCTCGACCGTCTCGCTGCGGTGTAGGCCATTAGTCTGCCCGCGCCCCCGGCCCGGCTTGCGTACGCCGGGCGTGGATGACCTCGTTCTCGTCTTCGGTCTCAGCAGGGTCGATCATCTCCTTGGAGGGCGAGTTCTCGCCCTCGCCCTCGCCCTCGCCCTCCTCGTCGCCATCGTCTTCGTCGTCGCCATGGCCGGCGCCGTTGAGCTTCGGCCGCTTGACCGGCCGGACGACACCCAACGGCGGCCCTTGGTGGTTCTCCCAGCGGGCCAAGCGGCGATTGGTGCGGCGGAATGCGGCGGCGTAGGAGCTAACTTGCTCGCCGAAATCGTCGGGCTCGTCCTTGAGCTGAGCGAGCCCGCCGTAGCCCCTCTCGCGCATGCGCTTGCTCCCGTCGCTGGGAGCGGAGGCCGAGTGCTTGCCGAGGATGGCGGCGACCTCCTCGTCCTCGCTATCGTCGAAGGGGTTGTCCATCTGGGCGAGCCGGGGGAGGGCGCGGAGGACAGCTCCTTCGTCGCGGTGCTCTTTGCGGGCGCGGTGGCGGCCGCGGCGCAGGCCCCGGTCGAGTATGTGCTCGACGCGCTGGGAGCGGTTGCGCTCCACTGCGAGCTGGTGGGCGGTTGGTGGGCGCGGCTTACGCGCCATTACCCCTTCAATCATCCTATCGCCGCCAGGGGACGAGCCATCCAGAACTTGGTATTTGAGCGAATGCGGCCCTCTACGACCAATGCTCCCAAAAACGCCGCTCTGGCGACCAAGGGCACGGGGTGGCGGCGTTGACCGGACGCTATCCAGGTCACTTTCGTTTTTGGAGGGGCGAATTCGCGGGAGGATGCCTGTCGTCGGTCCGACGTCGTCACCAGCGGGGAAACCCCGGCCACGGCCGCCGCCTCGCTTGCCTTGGCTCTCGGCCATGAACTGCTGGTCAGCCTCGATGATCTTAGCACGCATCTTTTGCTTCGTGAACCCAAAGTCAATCTCCTCCTGGGTGTCGACGTTCTCTAGTGCCGCCTCCTCCTCGGTAAGCGGATCTATGCGAGGAACTCCTTGATTCGCGACGTCGACGTTGTAATCCACGCCAGCGCCAAAGGGGTTCTCCTCGCACCCTTCCTCGGTGAAGTCGGATTCGAGATAAAACCACATGAGCCAGAGAAAGGCGCGGGCACGGCTCTCGCTGCTGTAGTTGGTCTTCATGATAAGGTCGTGGAACTCCTGGCCCGGGGGGAAGTGGAGCTCCGCAATCTTGGTGGCAGCCTGACAGATGAGGAAGAGGAGGTTGACCGGATTTGTGCGTGGAACATCGATCCCTTTTATCTCGTCAAGCGACGTTGGCTCGGGCCGGTCATCGGATCCTCCCTTCAAAATGGACTTCAACCTGGGGGCATCTTGCAGTTGTTTGTAGGCATGGGGGTCTTGCCGGGCCTGCAGGCAAGGGATTGCGTGGTAGGTGCGCAGCTGGGCTCGCATCTCGGGGAAGACTGGGGCTGCGGTCAGCATCTCATCGCCAGGCGGGAAAGGGACGGGACAGGGAGCAAGGACATACAGTTGAGGGTGGTGTTCATGCGGCCTACGTTGACCAGGAGGCAGACCATGGCCATACCCTTGGCAGCCTCGCGATCACTGAGTAGCTTGTCTCGGAGGACCTTACTGGTCTTGCTGCTCCGGGACATGGTGTCGATGTAGAGGTCGGCGAAGCACTGGCTGCCAATGCGATCTTTCTCGTAGCTGTTGGTGAATACCTTTGCCTCATTATCGAAGACGGCTTTGAGGAAGTCGTATTGGATGTCCTTGCGCCAGAGCGGCTCGCCGTCGTCTTTCTTGAGGTGTCGGATCTTGCCGATGGGATTGCCGTTGGCGCCATCGTCGCGACCGCGCTTCTTGCCGCGGGATTGGCGCTCGGAAGGCTCTGGGGTTGCCATCATCCGCGTGTCGTCGTCTTCGGTAACAGCTGTCATAAATGATTTTTCGACATGGACAGGTGAGCTGGGTGGCTCGACGTCGGACATTAAGGCCGCCGAGCTCGGGGTTGCGGCCATGGTAAGGGCTAAATACCCCGAATTGGGGGGCAATCAATGGTGTGCTTCGTAGGTAGTGTTGGCGAGTTTCACTTGTTGGCGGCTTCCCGTGAAACAGTGATGGTCGTCGAGACGGAGGCGGGTGCAGGTGCGTGGCCGGGTCGAAGGGCGCAAAGGGTCAAGTCAGGTGCACGGAAACGGGAAATGCACGCGACGAAGCGAAGAACAATTAAATTCCGGCCTTGTTCGGGGCCACAAGAAAGAAAGAAAATGTTGCGAGGGTGGCTGCCACGATAATGTGACTTAGGTGGCTGGTTTGCAATTAAGTGGGCGAGGAATTTTGGGTTGGGATGGATGGAAAGGCGCGGATGCCTGCCGCAGCTTGGCCCACGGTCGCCGAAGGCATCGCGTCAGGAGCTGTCGCCGGGCTCATCAAATTATCCCCGTTTGGCGATCAGAGACTCGCGGGTGACGCGGGAGGGTGCATTGGCCCGCGCAGTGCTGCGACGGGGCACATTTACAGGGTCCTGCGTGATCCCTAGGTGGTAGGTAGGTAGGCGGGCCTTGCTTTTAACGGGGTTGGTCAGAGAGAAATACACAGTAATGAGATGTACTTGATCACCCGCTCTCGCAACTCTAGGTTTCTTTAAGCATCAATTCATATCAGATGGTTTTGCCATGTGATGATGGTAAATATAACCCTTTTTGTTTCCAATCATTTGCCAGGTTTCATCGTTTTGATAAGTCCTGACCTTCTCATAGACTAGCAACCCACCTAGGGCATTCATTCATTTGGTGACATAACCCTCGAGGAGCGAAGATACGCTAACTAGTTAATAGATAAGAAAACAAGCCCCTTCTGCTTTGAGATCTACAATTATTCCACCATTGAGCCGCCTGACAACAAGTGACTTGGAAAAGAAACCGACTCGAAAATGGGCAAGATTGCAAACATCCCCATCATTGACATCTCCGAAGGCGACCAGACTCAGGTGGCCCAGGACTTGGTCGAGGCCGCTATCGAACATGGCTTTGTCTACATCAAGAACACGGGCGAGGACATTCCCGCCGAGGCCATAGATGGCGCATTCGAGATCGTAACACACCCTCACAGCTCCCCAAGTGAAGATAGCAAGCCCCTGACATTGCGCAGTCCAAGAGGCTTTTCGAGGCACCCCTAAGCGAGAAGCAAGCATGCACGATCCAGAAGAACAACCGAGGAGTAAATCAGAGTCATCGCTATTTCTACTTGCATTATTCTAACAACTTCCCTTCTAGTGGTCTGGGATGAACTACGAGACTCTTGACCCCGCGAACCAGCGTGTAAGTCATTCATGCAATGACTCAAACGTAGCTCAACATCACTAACTCCTTCACAGGTAGGCGACTTCAAGGAGTAAGTACCACCTCCCTCCACCACCCCAACAACCACCCCCTTTCTCCCTTCCCCAAACCCGAACAAACAACCCCCCTATTCACGCCCACCCCCTTAACCCCCAGCAACCAGAGCCTTCAACTTCGGCGACTTCCTCCACCACCGCGCGCAACAACCCCTCCCCCCCAGCATCGCCGCCGACGAACCCCGCATCAGCGCCTTCCGCGACCTGTGCTACCAGCTCTCGCTCAAACTGACCACCCTCCTCGGCCACGGCCTGGCCGTCACCCCCCCCCACCTTCTTCACCTCCGCACACGAACGCGCCCGCGGACCCTCCGGCACCATCCTGCGCTTCCTGCGCTACCCTCCGCGTGCCGCGCTCCCCACCACCGCCACGACGGCGGAGGACGTGCGCGCGGGCGCGCATTCGGATTATGGGTCGCTGACGCTGTTGTTTCGGTTGCGGGGCCAGCCGGGCCTGGAGGTGCTGCAGACAGATAGGACCACGTGGGCGCCCGTGCCGGTGGTGCCGCCTGGCGCGGAGGGGGATGCGGCGCCGCCGGTGTTGGTCAATGTGGGGGATTTGTTGTCGTATTGGACGGGGGGCCTGTTGAGGAGTACGGTGCATCGGGTTGTTTTTCCGAGGGGGAGGGGGAGGAGGGGGGTGATGGAGTGGGGGTGGACGGAGAGGGGGATGGGGCGGCGATGAGGTATTCGATTGCGTATTTTTGTCATCCGTTTGGGGGGACTGAGTTGAAGCCGGTGCCGAGTGAGAGGGTGAGGGCGTATAAGGGGGGGTTGGCGGAGGGGAATCCGTATGCGGAGAGGAGGGTGATGACGGCGGATGAGCATTTGAAAATGAGGTTTGTTGTTGTTTTGTCTTGTTTTGGTGTTGCTAGAGGATGTGTGGCTGACCATTACCACAGATTGAAGGCGAGTTACGCTCAGTTGTACGAGGAGAAGGACAAGGGGAAGGAGGAGGCGTGATGTCGCTCGTCCTGCGCGGCGGCGAGTTATTCTCTACGACATTGTTGATATTCGAATAAAAACACGTTCAATCAACTCATTTTGGTGACGAGTGAAAACGGGAAAGACAGAAGAGGGGAATGCGCAAGTGGAAAAAAACGAAAACCTAGGAAAAAAAAACACAAAAAGCTCACCGACCACCATCGTGGCGGGCTACGAAAACCCCCTGTGGGGATTTTTCAAGAGCTCGAACTGGTAATCTCCCGTACTATAGAGTGGTGACCGCGGTGAGTGCCGCCCTCCCCCGCTCGGCCACCGGCGTCTTTGAAGGGGAGTTATTAATCGGCGGCGCGAATCCCGTTTATGAAGGCCTGGCACTGGCTAGCGGGTGGGCAGGTGTTGAGCTCGTACTGTGCTCGAGATGGGATGGAAAGCGAGGTGTTGGTGGCAGGCCGGAGCCTGAGGATGGCTTCACGGCGTGGGCGATGGGGTTGCATAAACAGTCCACTGGCCAAAACGCCCCGGGTTCCCAAGGGCCGGTGGCGGCTTGAGTTCATGGGCACCCCTTGATGGATATCTCGGGCATACCAGTCTTGGTCCGAGCCGGCATCTGTTCTGTTTAAGTGTTGGAACTTCCCCGGCTTATCTCACTGAGGCTCAGCTTCGGCGGCCGATAGGTCAGGCTTCAAAGGCTAGCTGAGATGGCAAATTCATGCGTGCTAGAATGGATATACACTCGTGGTCTTTAGTTTTGATGCCCATGTCTCATACAAATCATACCACCTCCTGGGGTATATTCGTTCTCAAACCTAATGCTCTTTCTTGTGCACCCGAGCCCTCCCAAACACCTCCTGATGTGGGACACAACTTGCCTGCGACCAACCCCCTCCCCCGCCCTCCCAACCACACAACCGCCCTCATGCACCAGCGGCCTGCCCCATCTTCTCATCCCTCTCCTTCCGCCTCGCCTTACGATTCCCACTCCCCTGCACCTTCTGCAGTTGCTCCCTTCGCTCCTGTTTCCTAGCAACCTTATCAATAGCGCCAATAACCTTCTGCTCCTTGCCGAGCGGATACCGGGCCGCGGCGGCCGCCTCATCCGCCTCGGTCCACTCCATGGGCAGGACGGCAAAGACGAGATACGACGTGTGCGTCTTGATCTCAGGCTCGCCGCGCGTGATGAGGCGGCCCTCCATCCAGGGGGGTGTTGTTTCCGAGGGCTCTTCCGCCGCCGTTGAGGGGGCTTCGACGTTGGTGGGGATGCCGCGCGCCGGGGTGGGAGGCTCGTCTTCGTCGGCCGAGTCCATGTCCTCGTCGCCGTCTCGGGGTTTGGCTGCGTGCTCCCGGAAGCGGTTCTCGATGTCGGTGAGCCTGGTGATGGCCTCGTCGACGTCGCGTGCCGAGTTGTTGACGCCGCGGTCGAAGTTGAGGTTTAACCCCACGCGCTCGCGCGAGGTGTGTAGCTTCCTGTTGGCGATCTCGACCATGTCGATGTCGACCCAGCCGAGGCGGCGCATGGCTGACACTGTTTTGGTGACCTGCTCGATGCATGGCGAGAAGGTGCAGATGTAGACGGTCTTCTCGGGGTTCAACGGTGACACCCATTCGGCCTGGTCATTCTCGGAGGCGGCAGCTTTCGCATCGAAGGGGGGCTGGGGTCTTCGCCGAGACAGGTGCGGGAGGGCTTCCCACGGCGCGGGCAGGTCAAGGAACACGGCGTCGGCCTCCGGGCTGTTGCCGCCGACCAGGAAACCCCCATTGTAGACGTCACGGTGCATCAGGTGGACCAGCCCATCCATGCCGTGACCTGAAAGCTCCTCCTTCATCTTGTGGTAGCGCTGCTCATGAAACTCGAAGCTGAACACCTTGCCCTTCCGCCGCCCCTCAGCCGGACACCCATTGTAAACAGCCCGCACCGACGCATGGGTGAAACTCCCACTCCCGGCACCCGCCTCAATCAGCACAGACCCCGGCCGCGCTCGTATCCTGTGCAAAATATAACTGTAGTCGGGGGTGTAAACGACCTGTGTCCGGTGGGGCAAGCTCGTAGTCCAGAGCTCGGGGGTTGGGGGCAGAACGTGGATGAAGCCGCTCGAGTCGGCGACCGCTTTCTTGACGGCGGCGCTCTCTTCGTTGGCGGCGACGGGCGAGTCTTCGTTGTCCTTCTCGCTGGCGGCGGTGGCGTCCCGGCAGGCATCATCGGCCCCTTCGCGCTTCCTCTTGCGGCCCCGCGATCCGGTGTCGACCTTGGAAGCCCGGATCTGGGAGCCCCAGGGCACGTTCAGCATGGTCGAGTGGGGGAACGAGCCATAGCGCGTGTTGACAACGGCGCCTTCGGCGTAGCCGTCGTGGTTTCCGGTTGGTGACTGGAGGTAGACGGGCAGGAGGTTGTCGCGTGAAAGCTGTAGGATCGCGAGCGAATTGGCCTTTGTGCGCGGACCTGGGTCCAGAAACGGTGAGATATTTCTTGTTGTCGGTGTCATGATTGGGGTTATGAGCGTTGAGAGGCGTGTTTTGTGAGAATATTGGGCATTCCTATGTACATGAAGTGCATTCGATATTCGTCGATCCGTCGCAAAAAAAGATTCCACCCAGATGGGAGCTTGAAAATTGTGAGCCACAGTGGGTGGGGGTGGCCTGTGGAAGTCGCTATAGGTACTTTGTAGTGGCTGGGTGAATCATGGTGGGGCCACTACGCTCCAGCAATTTAAGGTTTGCCAAGGCTGGGGTTTGCTTGGCGAATGCGCGAGGATGCGGCCGAGTTCCTGGTCGCGATTACGAGATTGGCTACCAACTCAGGCGTAAGCAATCAATGACCTCCCCAGACATATAATGGTATCATACCCAAGATCCATCCAGAAATACCAGAAACGCCCTCTTGCTACCCCTAAAACTTGTGCAAATATAGGCCGGCAGACAACATCTCTCTTCGCAACATCATCACGCTGCTGAATCCATCCGAAACCCCCTTCCCTTGACTTATTTGAAGTCCCCATCGTCATCTCCCCATCCAGACCCATCATACCCAGAAGAATCCGCAAGCGCAGGCGCAGTACCACCCGTCTTGCCCCATCCACCACCACTGCTAGCACCCCCCGCCGCCCCCTGAGGTGCCTGCCCTTGCGATAGCCGCTGCTCCTTCTGCTTGATCGCCTGTAGAACCTCGGGCGGGGGCATGGCCGATTGGTTTGGATTGTTGTGGTTCACGGCTGGGAACTGCGGGTGTTGGGTCCCGTTTCCGTTGTTGGGCTTCCACGTTAGGGGCTGCTGTTGTTGATGCTGTTGCGGGTGCTGCGGTTGTAGTTGTTGCTGCTGTTGCTGCAACATATTAGGACCCTGTTGCTGCTGTGGTTGCTGAGCAGGGTGGCCGGGCATCATCATCATATGCGGAGGACCGGGATGGGCAAACTGCTGCTGCTGCTGCTGCTGTTGGTTCGGATGGAATTGTGGCGGAAACGCGAGCTGCCCTTGATGAGGTGGCCCTTTTTGTAGTCTGTTCGCTGGTATTGGGTTTGCCTTTTTGACAGTATCGCCTCTCCACAGGCGGCCGAACCAACCTTTTTCTTCCTTGACAGGTTGCGCGGCCTGGGGTTGCATGACGTAAGGCCTGCCGTGCATTTGGCTTGGCTGCATCATGTGGGGCGGCATGTGATGCTGCTGCTGTTGCTGCTGCTGCTGTCCTGGTTGAAAGGGCAGCATACCAGGCTGGAAGCCATAATGGTACTGCTGCGGTGGCATCCCGGGCTGAACTCCCTGTGGTTGCATCCCCGGAGCCATCCCCGGCGGGGCAAACATCATGGGCATTTGTAGAGGCGCTGTTCCCGGACCTAGAGGACGAGCGGGCGGGCCTGGCTGCGAAACCATCGGGAGTGTGGATGTTCTCGGGGGCATGTTTTGAGGTACTTGTTGCGGGTGAGGGGGCATTGCAGCTGGCCCTTGGGAAAGCTGTGTGTGTGGCACTTGGCCGCTTGGTTGTACAGGAACTTGACCGTGTCCGGTAACCGGGAGCATTTGCGGCACGGTCGCTTGACTTGTCTTCTGCCCTTGATTGAGTGTTGGCGTGGGAGAGGATACGGCCGTTGGTTGGTGATGGGAGGATGGAGAAACTGGCATAGGCGGGTCCCGGTCGAGGGAGTTTTGTGCCGGCGGTGGGGTGGGCATAGAAACTGGCACTGCTTCAGATTGTTTCTGGTTCGAGGTTCCTCCGGGCTGGAAAGCTCCAGCATTGTTCTGGGCCGCTGGGGTGGGTTGCAAAGATGCAATGGATGCGCTTTGCTGAGAGGTGGAAGGCTCGCGCCCCGGTGAAGACGGCGGGGGTGTATTCACCGGATGGGAACCAAGCGGGCGGTGACCAGACGGAAGCGCGTATGCTTGTGCGCCCGAACTTGCCACTGGCATGCCAGTAGGCGGCTCGGATGAAGAGGGCGTCGCCATGGCACCGGATCCAAGTCCGGGGGTTTGGAAGCCAGATTGGCCTGGTGTGGTCTGGGTTGCAGCTCCTGGATGTTGCGGAAGGTTGTTCAAGGCTGGCACGGGTGGTGTCAAGACCGGGAAGCCCTGCGTGGAGTCGAGTCGAGTCGGCGGCGACGAAGCGCGCGACACAGGGCTAGGAGTCCGGGGGCAAGGCGGTTTAGGTGTGGCGGATGACGGTGTGGGTCCCACAGCCAGCCCGTGAGCGGGATTCCTAGGGTCGTTCACCGTAGACGCTGGCGGAGTAGTTGAGGTAGCTGGGAAGTATGAACCCTGAGTTTGGACACCTGAGTCCGTCGGCGGGGTGTTGGTAGGCTGCGGTACGGGCTGGGGATGGACTTGAGCGACAGGTTGGTAGTCCGAAGTGACATGGGAGGGATGCTGACTGTTAGATAGAACTGAGCCATGCTGGAAGGAGGTCTGGCTCGTTTCCCGTCCGTCCCCTTCGGACTTTGGGAGCACTCGCTGTTGAGCGGTTTCGACTGTTTGCGGGTCGCCTAACAACGGTTGCGACGCAATTTCTAGGCCAGAAACGCCCGAGATGAGCGATGAATTTTGTGCGCTGGCCGTCTCTGGCAGAGAATGAATGGCCTCTGGGGGTAATGAATTTGCCGGGGCTGACTGGTTGGTGCTAGCCTCAGACTTCACAGCAACAGCCGGAACCGAGGCGAGGCCCCGAGGAGGCGACATGATGGGTTCGGCGGTGACACCAAACCCGCCTGCAACGGCTTGTTTAGCATCACCGGCTGTGGTCACTTTAGCGCTGTCTGGTGAGTTTTGACGAGGCCGGTCTGAAGTGGGGACGAGATCGGGCTGAACAACGGCACCGCTTTGCTCAGGATGTTCACCGGCCTTGACATGAGCAGGTAAACTAGGCCGGCCTGAATTCATTTCAGAGATCGAACTGACCACCGGAGCAGAAGCGATTATCGTACCGGGTGGTGCGGGGGTGGTCTCCCGTGATACGACGTCCGGCTTGGCTGTGACTGCTAGCTCAACTATACTGGTAGAGATTAAAGCGCCGTTCTGGGGCGGTGGTGACTTGCGAGATAGATTCAGGGGTGGAGGTACGTCCGAGCCCGAGGGCGGTAGAGAGATAGGGTATGACTGCGGGGACTCGCTGGAAGGTGTTTCGCCGGACTGAAGATCTCGCAAAGTTGTTGGCTCGCCTGTGACCGAGTGCGGTAGATGCGGACGGACGCCCATGAATGGGAGTGCGGGAAGATGGGCCGGCAGGGTGCTTGTTCTAGAAACTCGAGGCCTCGCGGGGTCAGATGTCTCAGGAGTTGCCGTGGTCCCTTGGCCATATCCACCCTTGGATAAAAGCTGGACCGTATCCTCGATGTCCCGTTGTAGGTCACGGTATGGCTTATAAGCCTGATAGGCCCGGGCTGGGCTGGCCCCTTGGCTTTGGGGAGGCGTCTGATTGCGTAGAACAGGACGGCCGCGGGCGGGCTGGAGTACTGAAGGAAAATGCGCGAGGCCGCCGGGGTTTACCTGGGCGATGGAGCTGGAGGTGCTGTCAGGGCGTGGCCTAGAGCCGGGAGTCGTGGTTCGCGCGCCACTGTCGGGTGATTTAAGGGGTCGCACATGGCCCAGCTGCGGCGGGGGAGTGTCTTCGGACATTGAAAAAGGCAGCGGTGGCGGTCCCGCTAAGGTGTGTCGTTTATTATCGTCAGCTGGCAAGGGCTGACGACCCCGCGGCTCAACGGTTGAAGACCGGCTCCCAACGGCAGCTCCGAGCAAGGCATGTTTCGCAGGGTTATACGCCTGGTACTTTTCTGTCGTAGGACCAGAGGCGGCAGAATTCGAGGGTTGGTCAAGAGCGCTTACAGACTGAGGCAGAGAGCTCTGACGAACAGGCTTATATGGCCGGTTGAGCAACTCCTGGACAGCTTGGTGTGCTTTCCGCTGTTGTTCTTGCTCTTCCCGCAATGGAACCTGCGTCGCTAACGACTTTTCCTCAGCAGCATTGCCTAGGAAGTTCCGTCCGGGGCGAGCTTCGTTCAATGGAAGCTCGACCGGGGCGAAGTGAAAGGCATTGGCGTAGGGGGCAGGTTCTGATGTGTCGACCATGACTTCATTGCTGGGCAACTCCACGGGGGCCGGGTTAATTTCGTCGTCACACTGCGCCGTAAACTCGCTGGCAAGTTCCGCCATAAAGCCGATCGGGTTGTAGGGGATCTGTCGACTGTCCAGAAGGGGGACCTCGGGCGGCTCTTCGGTAGCACCAGCTGGGGCAGGCTCGCCGGCTGTGACGACTACACCGCTGCCCAGTTCAGGAGTTGCCGCGGCAGGGACGCTGTCGATAGCAGGTGGCGTGGCTTTCACGCTTGCAACTGGTGATATTTGTGTGCGCGTTGGTGGCACGGGACTTTCGCTAGGGGTCACCTCAGTGTTCGACGCAGTCGCCGTAGCCGCCATGTTGGTCGCAACAGTTGAAGGTGTTGGGACGTTTGAAACCTCGCCACCGCTGGCACCTCCCAAACCGCGCTCCTCCTCTTCCTCCTGCAAAGGGCTGATGTCATTGTACGCGCCGGGCCCCATATACATGAGGCCGTCAGGCTGTAGCCAAAAAGGACCGCCACCATCATCTATATCCGAAACAGCATTCGAGGGCGCCCGGTCTCTCCGAGTGGTTGCGGATGTTTGTTTGGATTGCGATTCGCCCAGAGTACTCCTCCTCTTTATCTGTTGCTGGCTGACGAGCTTCTCCTCGGGGGGGAGATCGGGGGGCCCCGAGGTGTCGTCGACAAATTCGGGAAACTCATCGCCAGGCTTTGGGAAGGTGAACTGGATCAGGCCAGTGGGCTTATAGCGGTAGAACCAGCGCTTCCCGTCATAGTCCCATTCCCAGTTTTCTGGCAAACCAGCCATCTCTGTCAAATGCGCTGGCGCGCTCGCCGAAAACACAGTTGGTGGGGTTCAAATAGCCGAGGGCAGGATGTTGACAAGTTGAGGTGGCGCAGCCTTGTGGTGGTGAAATACTTATGAGGCTTGCGCAGATCGCGCCGAGTTAGAGACGGGAAGTGGAAGGGAAAAAAGACCTCAAGGCGCTTAAGCAGCAAAAGTCGTCGCGATCCCGCTCATGAGATGCATCGCAAACCAGAACCCGTCACAAATCACGGCCCGCGGATGGGGGACTCGACTCGGAAGATGGGGTCACGGGGAGGAGGTTCCGATGTGCTGCGCCAGTGCAGATGGGGAAGATATGGGCGTCAGGGCCGGTGCTGAATTGTCCCGCGCGGTTGGAAAGGAAACCCCAACATGCCGAAACAAGAGCTATTCGCATGGCGTCAAACTGGCCAGCACGCTTTCCTTCTTCGAGGAAAGTGCGGCTGAGCACCTTGTCGAAGAGAGCGGGGGCCAATGAACGCCACGATATTTCGCGACCCATGAGACCATCGTTGGCTCTCGGGCTTAGGCTCTGGCATCAAAACGTGCCCAACTGACAGGCGTGCAGGAGGAGCAGCTGGGTACCCAGGTAACGAGGGAGTCAGACCAATCGATCCGGGAATGGGATTGCTTGATCCAATAACTATTCAGGCCCTTGGTAAAACTGATAACTCGGCACCGCGACGGGGATCGAGGCAGCTTCTTGATCGGTTACCAACAAGAATATTATTTGTATACAATGAGCAAGACATGGCGCTCTTCTATCCTTGGTCGGCTTTGTGAAACCACTCAGAATGTTGCCCGCCCCGATGCTACAGTGCCTGCCGAAGCTTGTGTTGCATGGGTTCATGGGTTCATGGGTGATGAATCCTCCCGTCCTCGATAACTCATGAATTCAGCTCAGCCGGTGATTCCTCTGCTGCGCTCTCATCTTACGAGGCAAAACAAGACTAAAAATAGATAAGCCTGTTGCTTTCATTTCCAAAATATGTTCCGCGACGCCTTTTCACGGCCGTTGGTACTGGGACTCCTCTAGAAAGTCGGGCGTTGGGGAAATTGATCAAGACTTTCCACCAACTCAACCAAGACCGAATCAGGCAGTCGCAAAACCACGTGGTTGTGAGACCCCCGCCCCCGGCCCTCAAGACTTGCCGTGTCTCTCCCCACGCTCCCGCATATTCAAAGAATCCGGGACAGTATTCATACTTGTAGTCTCGTGTAACTCATAATGCCGCTCCGGTGGACTAGGGGGGGCGACTATCAAAAAAATGATTTTCTCCCCATCTTGAAACAATCGGACGAATCTAGACCTACTCCTGAACCCGACGGGAGGGTTGCCGCAAGGAACCGCCCTTCAAATTTGGGACGATGGCCTGTTTCAATCATTTACGCGCGGTTCCGCAGGGATGGAGCGATTTCAACAGATTCAGGGTCCACATCGCCATTTGTCTGTGTTCATCGGGAGTTATTATTAGTACCACAACCACTTGGTTTTGACAGCCGGACCCGAGGCCGAAACGGCGAGGGCAGGCTCCGGCGGCTCGGCGGGTAGTTAACTTTACGGGTGACAGGCTGACAGGTTTGGAGCCTCTCGGCCTCTTCGATAGGAGCAAATGTTCCAAGGGGCAACCGAACTTGGCGCCAAGCTGATACCGACCCAGTATGACGTCACTGTCCCTGCAAATTTCAGGGGAATCTCCAGCGACAGCAAAACCCCATCCACTCCCAATTCACAAACCCAGTCTTCGAAGAATGCCTTTGGCCGAAAGCGTTCGAAGGGAAAACAAGGCAAATATCTGGGGCGCACGGAAAGACGTGGAAGAGACACAAGAGCGTGGGGTAAGGATCCTCATCCGCATCTGCAGCTCTCCCGATTCCGCTCCCCCCCCGCTTCTTCCGTTTTCTCTTGGACTAGTGGGAACTGTTCGAGATGCGGCAGCATGGCAGGAAGGGGGTTTCCCTCCAGTTGAGCCAGCCAACAGATTTTGCGGGCCAGGAACTCAATGTTGTTTGCCGTCACAGAGCATGGAGCATGGCAATCTCTGTCAGTTCCCTTGAACCGTGGGTAACACCCTGATTCGTGGTTCCGAGGCTCGGCCAAGATCAACTTCCTAGGTACACTGTGACTTTTGCGAAAGCAATCGGAAATTCTGTGCCGAGTTCGAGTTGCATTTTCCTGCGACAGGGATTTTGCACTCCAACTCTGCGCAACCTGGCAACTCCAATGGATGCTTCGTTTTACCAAAGGTTTTAACCTTGCAGATGGCGAACAAAACAATGGAGGACAAAACCGTTGGATGAACCGGCTGCCGATCACAGCCGGGCCATGGAACCATCCCGCGTCGTGGAATACTCGGCCAGGAAGCTGGCAACTGACTGGAGCCAACACCACCAAACCCTGACGTGCTTGATCCGAACCCGTCCTCCAATCTATGGGTGGGTGGTAGTTGGTGGGTCGTTGTGCCGATCATCCTGTGAACCCGGGATCGGAAACCCGTCAGACCCCGCGGAGTTGATACAACAAAGTTATGGTGCTTGCTTCACTGCACGTGGGGAGCGTGGAGTGTGTTCTCTGTCTTCTCCTTTTTCTTCTCGCGCCGCCCCAAGGAGCCATCCTCCCACCAAATCACCCTCTTCGGTGCGGTAACCATGGCTTCGTCCGCAGAGTCGCCGCCGCCTCCGCCCGTGAGGCCGTCGTTGCATGTCCAGATGCCGTCATACTCCGAACCGAGCCCCGAGACCGACGACGTGATCAAATCCAAAGTTGACCCCGATCATCTAGCCCCCGAAACCGCGCCGCTAAGCCCGCGCGACTCGAGGGAGGCCGCGAATAGGCTACACGATGATCTAGAACTTCTTCGTGCTGAGCGCGTTGTGTCGACACAGGAGCGCGACTCAAACCGGCCCAGGTCAAAGACAAGGAGCCATCGGGAAGGGGTCGAGGATGCCTTCAACACAACCACAGCCCCGACGGTCGTTGCCGCCCCCGTGGCCGCGAAGGCAACCTGGCTCACCAAGCTGTGGCGATGGCTCAAAAAGTTTCCCCGTGTCCTACGCTACATCCTCTACGCCATCCCCCCTGCCATCATAATCCTCGTTCCTGTTTTTCTCGACTTATTCGCCTATGATCGCAAGGGTGATCCGGTCGGGGGACCTGGTGGTGTCCAGCTCCTGTGGTTCGGTATCTGGCTCGAGGTACTCTGGCTCACCCTCTGGGCTGCTCGTATCGCCACCTCCGTTCTGCCGCCCATTGTCGCCTTCGCTGCCGATACCGTCGGATCAACAAATCACAAGAAATGGCGGGATATCGGGCGCCAGCTCGAATTCCCCACGGCCTTATTTTTGTGGCTATTGGCCGTCTTGGTGTCATACCGGCCCATCCTGAACCATCGCGTTGTCGATCCCGACGACGACAACAAGACACCCTACGTCACCTGGATCGACGTCGTCTTCAAGGTCATCATTGCCTTGTTTGTCCTCGCGACGCTGAATCTAGTGGAGAAGGTCCTCATCAAGTGGATCGCAACCTCCTTCCACCTGCGGACATACTCTCACCGCATCCGTGAGAACACGCTACACATCGAGTATCTCGTCACCTTATACGCGTACGCCAAAACACGCCTTGAGGAACAGGATCCGGTCTGGGACTCTCCGTCTAGCAGACGAGGTTCGGGCCAGTATCCGTCACCGCTCAAGAACATCCAGAACAACGCCCGCCATGTCTGGAGCAAGGTCGGGAACGCCGCCAACCGCATGGCCGGCGACTTTACCGGCCGCAAGTTTCTCAAGGGAAACCACCCCCGAAAGGTCGTGATGGAGCTTCTCCGGAACTCGGAGTCGAGCTACACGCTCGCCCGCGTTTTCTATCGGACATTTGTCCAACCGGAGAAGTCGACTGTGGCGGTCGAGGATCTGTTCCCGGCCTTCCCGGCCCAGGAGGATGCCGAGGCGTGTTTTGGCGTTTTCGACAAGGATCTGAACGGCGACGTCTCCATGGAGGAGCTCGAGATGGTGTGCAACGAGATCCACTTGGAAAAGAAGGCTATCGCGGCCTCGCTCAAGGACTTGGATTCCGTCATTAAGAAACTGGACGAGGTTTTCATGTTCCTTATCGTGGTCATCGTCATTATTGTCTTTATCAGCATCATTTCGAACTCGGCGGCTGCTGCCTTGACCTCGACGGGTACCGTGATTCTGGGTTTGTCATGGTTGCTGCAGGCCACCGCCCAGGAATTCCTTCAGGTACGTTGCCTCTCCCTCTTTTTGCATTGCCTTATATGCTAACCTAGATAGTCCATCATTTTCGTCTTTGTCAAACACCCCTTTGATGTTGGCGATCGTGTCACCATCTACGGCAACACAGGCTCGATGATGAAGGGCGACGACTACTACGTCCTCGAGGTTTCGCTCCTGTACACCGAGTTCAAAAAAATGGAAGGCCACGTGGTACAGGCCCCCAACTCTGTGTTGAACACACTCTTCATCCTCAACCAGAGGCGCAGTCAGGGTCTAGCGGACCCGATCAACTTGAAGCTCCGCTTCGGCACCTCCGAGGCACAGATCGAGGAACTCAAATCCCGGATGCTAGATTTCTGCCTCCAGAACAAGCGAGACTACGCGCCGCGTATCATCTCCGAGGTCCAGACCATCGATGAAGTCAGCAGCATCACTATGAACATCATTTTCTTCCACAAGAGCAACTACCAGAACGAGCTGCTCCGCCTGAACCGGCACAACAAGTTTGCCGTCGAGCTCATGCACCAGATGCACGACATGGGTCTCGAGACGCCACACCTCGTCCAGCCCGGCGGCATGCGGGACATGCCGTTGTACTGGACTCAGGTCCAGCCGCCTCCGGGGTATCAGGTCACCGCCCCCGCCCCCGCCCCCGCCCCCACCCAAGATTCTTTCCCGCCGGCTTCCAGCCCAACCATGCGTAGGCGAGCGAACAGCAGGGCGGCGGTTGTGGAAGCAGGCATGGATTTCCAGGATATCTATCACAACAGGCGACCAGATAGTAGCATGACCCGGCTGGCTTCGATTAGGCAGTCGCCGAGAGAGGAGGACGAGGATAAAGTCACCAGTATGGACGAGCAGCTGAACGAGAAGACGGAGAAGCGGCAGAGTTTGGATAGCTCGTCTTCGCGGAGAGCGTGGAGGCCTAGGAGCCGGTCCACTAATAGGGGGTCGATGAGCAATGTCGTGTGATGTGCCCATGGGGAACTAGAGATCACTATTTACGGCTTTAATATTAGACTTTTTTTTTGCTCGGAATACACTACGTCAATGAAGCAAACTATGCGCCCTGAAATCGATTATTTACCCTCCGCCCGCCAACCTACTGTTTCCACTGTATTCTAGACATAATTACACCACAGCTCACACACTACCTTAATTATCGCCCACAACCCTCGCGCACTTGACCTTCTTCCCATCCACAACCTCACAGCTCGTCAACCTCCCACCCTGCTGCGCCAGCCTCACATCCAGCACCTCCGCGCCCGCCAAATCCCTCTCACTCCCATCCTCCAGCTTAACCCCCGCCCCAAACGTCACCCCCCCAAAATCCGCCAACGCCACCGGAAACTCGGGCCTCCCCTCCAGCGGGAAATCCTCCACCACCCACGCCGCCTCCCGCCGACACAGCTTCTGGGCCCTTTTCCCCCACCGCCGGCAACACCTTCCGCACCCTCTGCGCCCGGCGTCGCCCCCTCCCCACCAAACGTAACATTCCGCCCAAAATTCTCCCCCAAGGTGCAGTTTCCGCTGTGTTGAGAAGGTAAAGGCGGCATTTGCGGTGGTCAAGAAAGTGGGTGTGTAGATTGGTGCCAACCGTACGAAGCAGTCTTCTGTCAACCTGAGAAAAGGGAGACCGAATGGAAGTCGCCGTAACCAAAGA